CTCCCAGCCCTGCCATGGGCTGTTCTCGGGCCCCTCCCAGCCCTGCCGTCCCCTGTTCTCGGGCCCCTCCCAGCCCTGCTGTCCCCTGTTCTCGGGCCCCTCCCAGCCCTGATGTTTGTTTCGTGTTCTAAAGTCCTTCCCCGACCCTCCAGCACCATCTCTGAGACAATCCCAGAATTTAGCAGCCATATCTAGTCCAAACTCCTGAAAGGAATCCTCATTCCGATATATTTGAGAAGGGGTCCTGGAGGCCCTGGAGACTTCCAGAGATGGGGAGCTTACCCCCTGTGCAGGCAGCCCATTGCACTCAGGACAGCCCAGACTAATCCCTCTTTCATCAGATATTTGAACTCAGCTCCCCGCTGCCCGTTGAGGCTTCTCCAGGCTTACCTTGCCCCATTTCTTTAACCACTTCTTTCTGTGGCACAAACTTGAGGCCTTTCACCCACCTGGTTGCCCTCCACTGGACCTTCTGCAGCTTCTGCCCTGTACACAGTGCTCTAATTGGGGCCACCCAGGGCAGGGCCCAGCAGGCCTATTGCCCCCACAGGCCTTGGAGCTGTGACTCTCAGTGCAACCCAGGATCACATCAGCTTTCTTGGATGCCCCTTCATACTCATATGGAGCTTATATTCCATTAAGACCCCCAGATCTTTTTCAGATAGGCTGACATTTAACATTGCCTCCCATGCCTTGTGAAGCTAATTTTTTGAACCCAAGTGTCAGATTGGCTGTGCCGCTTAGTACCTGTGTAAGGGTACATCCCTTAACCTGTCTGGGGCTCATTTTCCTTGTCTGTAAGATGAGGAGATGTGAACCAGATGAAATTTTAGGTCATCCAAGGCCCTTCTCCACTCTGAAATTCTGTGGTTCTAAATTTGGGTCCATTCCCAGATAAATAGATCCTTCCTGCTAAGAGAGTCCAGGACCAAAGGGGCGACTGTCCTCTTGTCCCCCACCCAGGTCAGACCCAGTCTGAGGGGCTTGCAGGTTCAGTTCTGGAGTGGGGGGACAGTGAGGAGTTTTCACTTGGAGAAGACTTGGAGGAGGGGTGGGGCAGGAAGAGGAGGGATCAGCGTTGTCCTGCTTGGTCCCAGAGGCAGAACTGGGACAGTGTAAGAGCTAATCAGTAGTGGAGGTGGGATGGGTTCCATCTCACTGGAGCAAGGCCTCCAGGCAATGGGATGGGTTCCATCTTGCTGGGGGGAGGCCTCCAGGCAGTGGGATGGGTTCCATCTTGCTGGGGGG